AATACTAAATCCGAGATACGACCAATAATTACGAAACCTATTCTCGTTGATTTTACGTGCTTGTGCTCACCTGACATAAAGAAACTTGCGCGAATTATAATTAAATATTAAAGTATATGTAATTTACTTTTCTAAAAGAATAGATCTATAAGATAGAAAATATCACCGTTGTTATCTTCAAGATATTTGAAAACTGAATCGTTTAATGCAAAATTTAAAACAATGGCTAACTTTTAACCAATCAGAAAATTCCATTTCGACTTTCGCTGATATCGCTGGAACGGTTTGTCGCAGAATGTTCTAATGTCACAGAAACCTTCCTCGTGCTTTGAACTATCTGTGTGCCAAGTTTCATAGCTTTCTGTCGGATGGTTTAGGAGTCTATAGAGGACAGACAGACAGACAGACAGAGACACATTCACTTTTATATATATAGATAAAGTCCAATTGCATCGAAATTCTGTTTGCGCATAGCCTTTACGATTCCAATTTTTATGTATAAAATCTGTTGATCTATAGTTATTTAAATCTCTTCTTTTCAATACCTCATGAAATTATTATTATTTTTAATAGCCGCCTTTGGTGACCAGCTTTGCTACTTTTCAAGATTAGTTTGTGCTACGCATAAATTTTAATGGTAATCAAGTCGAATGTACAGCACAGCTGTATTCAAATATTCTAATTTTTCAACCCCTCCTCCCATCCTAACATCTTAATTAATTTTAAACACTATATTGACTCATTATTTGAACCGTCTAGTTGTTGCCTGGGGCATTGTCTGCGGAGAGGTACTTTGATTACTATTTTAACTATTCTCAAGAGGTGTCTGCGATAGTGTCAAATTTTATTATCCATTGAGTTCATAAAGTCACACGAATTGCCGTTTCAGAAGAAAGAGACCTCAATGGTGTCATCAGCTCAATATTTCGAGGAAAATGCAGACGGTTCTCTCACGTTTTTTGTGCGGTTATATCAAAAACGGGGAGACTCTTTCCGGAGTGTCATTGGCTGATCAGACCTCCCCCCCCCCCCCNCCCCCCCCCCCCAACCACATCAAATGCTTAGATTTTACTGTTTCCAAGATTTTAAGTGATCCGTATTTGCTCTTAGACTTTTTAGAGATGTATGGAGATGGTGTAGCTAGGGTTAGGAACAACAACAACGAACTGGCGTAAGTATGAGTTTGGGACATATCACCATATTAGACTGTATTAAAATCACTTACATGTCTGTCATGAGATAAGAAAGAAAACTTCCTCACACACCTCTCGAGCCATGACTTGAACAATATATGTATATTTATACATATACCATACAGCACCATTTATGTTTAAAATTTTTACAGCCATTTTCTAAGGATCGAAAATAAATCTAAGTAATTACTTAGTTTTTATTTCTATAAAGATATAAAATTATTCTTCGAAATAAAAATTTAAAGTAATTCAACACTACTGAAATTATTACTTAATATAATCTAACAAAATTAATCTAAATGAATACTTACATATAACTAATTTTTTGACTCTGTTTTAATTATTACTTAAGACAACCTAATAAAATGAATAATAAATATTAGATAAAGAAATACTCAAGCTAGTGGAGCTACATAAGAGAAATATATATCTCAAGAGAGATTATTAAAATCATTATTGATCTATGTTACACTTTTCTGTATACTTTTTAAAAAGCTATTCTGTATTATAAAACAGGAGAAAGGTATTTCAAAAAAGATGTTTGAGGTGGCGCGTTTTAAACCTAGTTAAATAAAGTAAATGAATAAGTTAAAGTGTATTGCACATAAAGATACAGGGGTTGGATAAAATAATGGAAACACTTCAACTAATAAAAATTAGTACGATTCAAATATTTTAATAATTTAAAATGTTTCAAGCAGTTTCCTAAGTACTTTTTGTTATAACTCGAGCATGCTATCAGCGAGTCTCACGCTATATTTGTTTATCTTGTTGAGTTGCACTTTCGTAATCTGGCAACTTCTATTTCTTGTATATTTTGAGTTTTTTTTTTTTTTTTTCTAATCGTTCTTTTCTTTTTTATTTCTAAGTTCGTATTAAATACTAATTTAAAATATCTGTCACATTTATTTTGCTAATATTTACAACACTTTTATTTCCTCTTACTTTTTCAGGGAAAGCTTAAAATGAAAAGCGTTTTCCACAAATTTCTGCACTATTAAACAAGATTTATTAAAAATGACACCGGCATTGTTGGGAATCGTCCCCCATAGAAGAATATTTTCCTTCGCTTGTTTTATTTCCTAATACCATCATGCTTTATTGTCCGGACCAGCATCAGATGGGTATTATCATTTGTAAATAAATCTTGTTTGATTGCACAAAATGAAATTTATGGAAAATCCTTTATTATTCTGAGCTTTCTCTTAAAAAGTAAAAAAACTGATTAGGAAATTGCTTGAAACCTTTTAAATTTTTAAAATATTCAAATCGGACTTTACTTATTAGTTGCCAAATATGATTCCTAACAAAATTAAGAATTTTTTTTTTCAAAATTCTTTTGCGTATGAGCAATATAAAAGAACTATTTTACTTATATCTTGCGCAGTTTCTAACGAATTTTTCTCACATTTTAAAGCAATAATTTTGTAATCAACTTTAAATTGTTGAAAAAATTTTGTTTAATTTTAATGTATATTTTTAAAGTTATAACAAAACAAAAACAAAAGACGAAAAAATTAATTTTTTTGTAAAAATGTCTATATTTCCGTAAATATATAAGCTAGATTTACACAATTTATCAAATACTAGTGGGCTGCTCCCCCTGCTCGCTAACGCTCGCCAATCCCCGAGAATTGCTACGCAATCTTATATGGTTTACTTCCCAAACCAAGCTCGCTTCGCTCGCTACTAACTTAGGTGCATTGCAAATACACAAAATTCTAAGAATTCAAAACAATCATTCAAATTCATATAAAAACTTTTTTTTCTAAAAATTAAATCTTTTTAGTAAGTCATTAAAATGAATTTGAATTCAAATAAATAACATGCAATTCGCTAAACCTATTGGAAATGTGCTGTAGTATAATTCGTGATATAAATCAAAAATCGTCAACTAAATTCGTAATATATAAATTCGTGAAAAAAAGAGCTTTCGACAAAATATTCAAATAGAGATCAATCGACAAAGACTACTCACTTCTGCCTAGCTTAATAGTATGAGATTGCCGCAGCTGATGCTCTCTGTTTATTTCAGTTTCCGTTTTTAAAAGCGCTATATGTTGAGCCACCTCAACTAGATTTGGCATGTTACATTTTTAGCCGCAATCATTGGTCGATTCGCCGTGTAAGAGAAATAGTAACGTAAGCGAAACAAAGCAAACGTTGCCACCGGCGAAAAAGAAATACAGCCAAAATTTGGGAGCCACGTAAGAGAATTATGTATATTCCATAATAATCAAAACAATTGTTAAAAGTTACAGATTTATTGCTACATTTTTTGGCATAGAATGTTCAAAAACTCTATTTTCCGTTTGTAATTTATTGTCGGTCCCTCAAACCTCTAAAAGCTTTGAACTTCATTGATGAGTATGAGAACTCGCATGATCTAAGCACTTCAAAATTTATAAACTGATTCTCTTACCATTTTTTGAGAAATATAAAGAAAGTGAATCCATTAATCGTTTTTAATTTTCTGAAAATTGTTAATTTATATACGAATCAAATAATAACTTTAATACGCATCGCTTCATTTACCATTACAAAAATTTTATCTACAATTGCGTTAATACTTTTGGAAAGAGCAATTAAATCATACTCTGTTTTTAATTTTAAAAAAGTTATTCATTTGAATTAAGCAATAATGCTTAAACTTTTTTGGTAGCTCAAACGATGTCCGACTCAGGTTATTAAGCCAGTACAAGAAACAACAACGAAAGACAAATCTGAATCGGAAGAAAGCGAAGAGGAATCGAGCAGCGATGAAAAAGCGAAAACAAGCGAAAGCGACAGAAAATCTTCGACAGATATCGACACTAAAAAGGTATTTCACCAAATTAAGTAATTTCCATGATCGATCCCCTACCATGTCCACAGCATGATAAGTAATAGATGTAAAATAATGAATTGGATAACTTCCGTATCAGTTACAACGTTAGATCCATCCATTTCAATTTTGTATATTTCATATGCATATTTCCTAATACGTCTAACCAATTTAACTGTTTACAATCAGCTGGTATAATTTGATGGTAAGAAAAAATATGATGCTGGTACTTGATTGATAAATATTTTTGTAACGTAAAAAGTTTAGATTTTTTTAAAAAAATATATATCTTTGCAGTTATTGTTGATTTAATTAAAAATAGTAATGTCCTGAATTTTTCTTACATGTCAAAATTTTTGGAGGGCATTGAACTATAATATCATGTGGCATTAACTACAAACTAATTGTGCGATTAAGTTGAACGCAAATTAATTTTTGATTATAAGTTAGAATGATTCATCTTGAAGGGAAACGGGATTCAGTTTAACTCGTTATTAAAGTACTGACATTATGATTCAACGTTGAATTAATTTTTCTGTTACGGCATCATAGTTTTATCAAGTTTCTCAAGTTATAACTATTTAAATTTATTTATCTGAGACATTGCATAACTAATTTTGGAACAGCTATACTAAATTTCAAAGTTTGAAATGATATGCTAGGAATGATAAGGTGGTCCCATACCGTTTTCTAGATAATGTGAAAAATAGCTTTCTATAAAAACAATCACCAATATAACTTTGATAGGTGTGCGTTTTAATCTGTTTCGTTGCTGAAAACTCTTTCATCGGTGTGTTAAACATATTTCTCACGCCATCGAATTTAAAATGATAATTATTGATAATAGGAACCATGCGTTGGGAACACATTTGTCTCTATAATTGATAAGTGCGAATTTAAGTATGGGATGCATTGTCAAAAGTATTGATATATACTCCCAATCACTTTTTGCAGCACTCACAACAATATCGTATTCAATAATTATCCTTTTCTATAATATACTCTAAATTATGATTACGATATATTATGTTATTGATAATGATCATGTTTTAAACATATTACTGATACCATAAATGAACATAGTATATTTGTATTCGATATGCATTTTTATTGTTATTGATCACAATATTAACGTATTTGATACACCTATGTTTACTGTCTGTATCCGGTTACCTATGTAATTTTTTTATTAAATTGATCTATTAATATATACTGAATTTATTATAGCATCATATGGATTACTTTATTATTCGTAATATACCATGGATGTAAATATATTGACCCTAATTTTACATGCTATGGTTTAGAGTGATACTGATGCACCTCAACTGAATGGAGAATCTTACTGGCCGAAATCTCAAAAGAAAGATAGTTTGCCAACACCCGACACTATGACTCTCTTCATAGGTCAATGCAAAGACATTGATGAAATGTTAGGCTCACCGAGTCCAGTCAGTCCGAATGCAGCTCCCAACGCTTCTCCTACTAGGCAGCAACCATTCAAATTCCAAGCAAGCATCACACCTGCTGCAAAGGCAAGGCATTTTTTTAAGATAACTTGATTAAAGAAAAGTGACTTAATACCATCTTTCTTGTTTTTTTTTGGCGATATTGCTAATTTTATGAGAGAAAATATGAACTTTCCTAGGTGTATACATTCCTTACGGATGTTTTTGAAGCACTTCTGCCAAGACAGATAAAATTAGCCGCATTTTTCCGGGTTTGAAACTCGAGACGACATTTAAGTTTTAAAAAATATAGACTAACTTGAAGAAAAGATTTCATTGAAATTTTAAATTTTATTGTAATAATTAAATTTTTTTTTAAGTCGCCAGTATGGTGATTTTTTCTGCTTGAATGAAAATTATTAAAATCAATAAGCAATTCTCAACATTTTCATGTTTTTAGAAGACGAAACACTGCAATGTCAAAATGATTTTACAAATATTTAAAAAAAATTTCGCAAATAAATTTTCAAAAAAAAAAATGTGAATTTTCTGTCCATTCACATACAGACATTTTTATTAACATCACAGGGGGCTACAGATGGAGTAAATTACTTCGAAAAGGTATGAGTTTAAAACAGTTATAAAAGTAGTATATTCCTGAAATTCGTTAAAAAAAAACATTATTTCACGTGACCGAAGAACTGTAAGGAGAAATCTATTGCTGACAACTTCCTTAGAAGTCTTCGTTTGAAGTTTTTTCTAGCAGTGGAGAAGCAGCATCTAAACGTGTTTTCTTTAAATATTTAAACGCATCCTTACTCGATAAACTTCTTCATGAGTGTGTTTAAATTAATTGCATACTGCGGTGGTCAAGATTGTTTGAAATTATATAAATTTAATCAAACATAAAATATTACGGACTGAAATAGGCTTCTTACAAGCAAAACTTTTCTACAAGAGTCACATCACCCAACCACTTAGCTCCATTTTAGGGCATATATTTAACTGCCACGGTAGGAATGCAAATTTCAACCCTGGTCAGACGACATAGGAGCTACGTACGACATATGACGTATGATACCCCCTTCTTCAAACTTCCACACGACAACCAACGAAAGATTTAACGTGCAGATTTTTCGTACATCTTACTAAGTAATCACCCCGTTTGTTACCTCAACTGCGGGATCGAACTCACTACCCTCAGCTCTCCAACCGGTGGTGTGAACGAAACCTTAACCGACTACGCCACCAAAGCGTGTTTGACAACAAAAAAAAGGCAGAAAAGTTGGCAAGCATGTCTTAACCCATCAACGTCAATTCACAAATTTCAAAATAGTTTCTTTTTCTTAAAATAAATATCATGTGTACAACTTCAAAAAAATGTTGCCTTTTTTTTTTATTGAGAGAAAAATGACAGATGTATTTATAAAATTTTGAAACCAAATGTATTAAATATAAAAAGGAAAAAAATTATTATTATAATTGAAATTACAAAAACAATAACTGTAAAAAATAAACAAATTAATAAGCAAAAAAAAAAAAAACTTAACGTTTAATTCTATGGCATTGTGCAAAACTGCCGAGTCGAATTTAAAATGGAAAAGGCTACGCTATTAATCGAACATTTGTTATTAATAAAACTCTTATAAGAAAAAAATAGTACTAAAAAGTAATGAGAAAGAAATAGTACTTAAAAGTAGTAAGAAAAAATAGTTCTTGAAAGTAATAAAGAATAGTACTTAAAAGTAATAAGAAAAAAGGAGTACTTAAAAGTACTATGAAAAAAAGAGCACTTAAATATAATAAGAAAAAAATAGTACTTAAAAGTAATTTATGCCAAGTTAATGCTGAAGAAATAATGCATTATGCAAATTATGATGCATTTTTACAATAACCTCTAAAATGGGTCTATGGACATTAATTAGTTAGATGGATTTTTAACTAAGAAATAGACATTAGTTTTGTTAGCAATTTATTCAAAGCATCATGTTATTTATTAAAATGAGGAAAAAAAAGTTTATCGTAATTTTACCGTATTAGTAAACGCAAGAGAGCATGACAAGAGCATATGCCGCAAAGAAAAAAAATAAATACTAATGTTGAAAAGTAGATTTTCACAAGTGTTCAAATTTTATTCATTGCTTCAATTAAACTAATACGTGATTTTATTTTTTACCAGTTAAAACATTTAAAATCAGATAAGATTTGCAATAATTATTTTTACTTTTGGCGTCAAAAGTCACCGCAGCAAAATGAAATCTTTGTTCCTTCTCAATACAAATCTTATTTAGCACCAAATGTGAAGTATTTAGGAGCATTTTGTGGAGAAAGGAACTCGTGCCAAACTGGAAACAGTCCAAAATTCTTACAAACAAAATTATTCCATTCGTTTAAACTGAATGCATATTTGTTTTTATTTACACGTATATTGCTAAATTTGAGTTGAAAACGGGATTTTTCAAAAAATAGGTTTTACATGAGGATAAAACCATGCGTGTATCAAGATTTGGCTAATACTAACTATTTTCCTCTATAAAAGCTATTAGTCTTAACATTGCTGCAGGTTGTCATGAAAGTCACGCAACGCAGTTCTAACTATTTTCCACTATAAAAGCTAATATTAACTATTTTCAACTGTAAAAGCTATTAGTTTCAACATTGCTAGAGATTGTCATAAAAGTCACGCAACGCAGTACTAACTTTTCTCCACTATAAAAATTATTAGTTTTAAAGCTGCTGCAGATTGTCATAAAACAAAAGCAACGCAGTACTAACTATTTTCCACTATAAAAAATATTAGTTTTAACGTTGCTACAGATTATCTTGAACGTCATGCAACGCAGTACTAACTATTTTACACTTTAAAAGCTATTAGTTTCAACGTTGCTACAGGTTGTTATGAAAGCTATGCGGCTCAAGTGCGAAGTGGATTTTGAAAAAATACAAATCTTCTATAGGGAAAAATTCAATTAACTTTTCGAACGACCCAATAATTTCTTTTTACTATGAAAAATATAATATCTACATAAAATGGAGGCTTTCCACATTGTTATAAAACGGATTAACTCTGTATAAAATAGAATGATACAGATTATTTTCCCTTTGAAACGTAAAATTCCCTTTTTACCTATACTCTGACATTTAAGAAGTAGAATATAGGAAATAGCATGGTCCTTTTTTTTCCTTTTAAGTTTGAACACAACTCAATCAAATAACGAAATTCCTGTATTATATAAAGGAATAAAACCACCAAGATGGAAAACTTTTTAAGTTTAACTAACTGGATTATTCAAGGAAACTTGGGAAAAACTTTCAAGGTTAATCTGATAATTCAATTTGTAAGTACGACCTGGAAGCAGTATACAAATTAACTAACTCTCATCAGAATTTGAATACGAATCTATTAATCAATAGCGTTATATATTATCAGATGTATTGAATTGTGCCATGATATGTGAATCACCTTAGCCCCAAATTAAGATTGCAGTAAATTTGAACGCCATTATGATTCAACATGATGAACAATCTCTATCAGCGTGAATATTTATTTAAAAAAATGTTTAAAACGTAAAACAGAACATGATTTACTGAGAAAGCAGTTTTGTGAACATCGTTATATCTGTAGCCTTTTTTTTTATGCTAGTTAGTTTTTTAGAATTTTAAATTATTTCATACATCTTTAAAAATACATGTGATTTCAAGGTTTCATTAAAATTCAGTTGGGGTGACAACACCATTAACAGCCCTAGAAACCGAAGGAAAAAAACTTTATTTATCACTATTTATGTTGGTTTCTTTCATTTTCAGCGCTTTGGCAAGGAAAGATAATCAATTTCCCTCCAACACTTTAAATAAAACAAAATCTGGAAACCTGTAACTTTCAAGTGTTTTTAACGAAATTCTTTTTTTTTTTTTTAAACAGAAAGAGACGTCGTCTGAGGAAGAAGAGGAAGAGGAGAGCGACAGCAGCGACATTGAAGAAGTCGAGGCATCGGTTGTCAAATTCCATGAATCCAAACCTCAGAAGCCTGAGTTGGGGGCTTACACCGAAGAAATCGACTCGAGCGCGGTTCGAATCCGTGAGAATAGACCCTTGACTTCCGAATTGGCAGCTGAAGAAATAGATTCATCTTCAGTGAAAATACGTGAACCAACTATCATGCATGGGCACATTTCAAAGGCTCCCATTCAGAAGGTATGGTTCATAGTATTACTGAGGTACTATTAAGATTCTTTTACCATAAAGCTTCCTCAATGCAAAATTATAGTATGGTTGTTTCTATAGCATTATTTCTGCTCTTATTTCAGATCTTTTAACTTCGTCTATAATAAGTCACCATTTTATTTTATAACCACCGCAGAACAGCAGGACTATGTCAACTTCATAACCATCGTGCAAACTTTGGGAAGTTTTCGTGGTTTTCCTCCCCATGTAACACAAATGTGGGTTAGATTCATCAAAAATCCTTTACTAAGACTAGTTTGTTTCAATGCTTGATCTCGGAATTCTCACGGAGTCTGAATTGGGTTTCAAAATTACAAAGTTATGGAAATAAGCATTGATAGTTGCTAACTCAGAATTAGGTCGACTTTTTAGCACCTGTTTTAAAATGAACCTTCAAGATTCGTGTAGGATTTTTTCAACAAAATTTACTTGAATTACGTTATAGGGTGAAAAAAATGGCGAAGACTTCCTACAATAAACAGACCACAATGGAGTTTCTATTCCGCTATCCCTAACCTTAATACAAAATTTCAGAAACATCAAAAAAATGAAGTAAAAAGAAGTGTGCACGTAAAGTGCTATTTTAAAGTGGAGAAGGAACAAAAGCACTATCGAAACTTGTTAAATCACTAATGAAAAATGAAATGAAAAACATCAAAGCCAGTTTTAATGCCTTGTTAAACTTAGAAGTGCTTCGAATAATCTTCTATCAAAACAAGAAGAAAATGAAACTTGGCAAATTACAATAGAAAATACTTATAAAATAAATATCAAAAAAAGCTTAGTCGTGTGATGAAACTCGAAGGTGTTTCAAATAACCTTCCTCAACTCTATCGTATTCTTCAGGTAATCAAATAGGTTTGAATGTTTTCAAACCTGCCTTCCTTAAAAAGCCTGAAAAGGTTTTTTGTTGGATTTAGATGGCGTTTTTTTCCCTTATTAAATATTATAATTAACTCACAGTGGATATACTTCTTTGACTTCATTTTTGACAAAGATTCTAAAAAATATGTATTTATATATTAAGACTGTGAATGTGATGATGGGTAAAAGTTCTAAAATCACAAATTAACAAAGGAGAAATAAATTATTTGCTAAAACTTTAACGTTGAAAAAAAAAAACATTATTTAAAGTTGACCCACTTAAATATCGTAAATTTATATTGTTAATTCTAATTAAATGTGATATAGTATTGCTAGACTCAATTAAATATTGCAAAATTATACCAATTATTGTTTTTTTCCCCTCCCTTTTCTTTTCTTTTTTTGTCTTATGACCGTTGTTGACACGATGTATAACTTGTTAGGGAATGACAATTACACAGTATGTTTGTTTACTGCGATAAGCGGGAGGTCAGAGATTGTTAAGTTCTCCGAAAGTCAATCAAAATCTATAGCGTTTGTAGAAAGTGCTTGGCCGTTTCTACAATTTAAAAATGAATTCATAAAAAACTGTTCTCAACGTTTCTAGTGGATTAAGCACATTAAACTGCGTCCATTTATCAAAATATGAAACAATTCAAACGAAATGCTATGGTTTTCGAAGGTATGAAGAAGCTGCTAAATGTTTGCAAGATAAATTTTGTAGTGGACGGCGAAAAAAATTGGGTAAAAATGTCCATTATTCTACATTAGTTTTAAGAGTTTATATTAAGATTATTTTCTGAATTATTTATTAAATTATTTATATATGGAAAAAAATAGAATTATGGAGATAATTTTTCACCACGATAACATAAGTTTTCTTTCGCATTTTTACCCTATAGATTAATAGCAGATACTTCGAAAGGTGCTTTCATTAATTTTTACAATCGGAAAATTTGCACTTTGTAGACTAACATGCTTGGCAGGGCCGAGTCCTGATAAATGTGTATTTAATACTCCTAAAATATTCACTTTTAAGATCTATTTTTATCCAATTGATTTTTCTTTCTAATAATTTTCTTAATAATGATAAGCATACCAATAAAAATGAACTATATTGTCTTTTAAAATTACTTTATTTGTACAGTTTATTTAATAATAAATGTAAAAAAATGTATATTGTTACTGAAGAATATCCTTATCAGTTTGTGATAGAATGAGAAGTCACAGGGGTGGTCTGCGTAATCATCACACATTAATACAATATCATAATTTATGTTAAATTGGCATAAATTATTAAAGTAGAAATCACAAACAGGTAAAAGTATCAATAAACCTATATCAGTTTGCGATAAAAAATGTTTATGCCACAGAAAATATCTGATGATGATGATTTATGAAATCACATAATCATATTTTATGTCTGGATGGCATATATTAAAACGCAAATATGACAAATCGGTAAGATTATCAAGGATTTAACACTATATGATGATAAAATATTATGGTTTAATAGTGCTGTGATCAAAAATATTATGTCACGGAGAAGGTCTGATGATGATGATTTATGAGATCACATTATCATATATTATTCCTGGATGGCACAGATTATTAGAGTGGGAATATGACAAACCATTAAGAGTATGAAGGAACTAACCCAATATCCAGTTGTTATAAAAATGTGAATTCAAAATGAAAATTGCGCATAAATCTCATAATAATTGCTCTGTAAATCAAAGGGCGGACGAGCAATTACGAGTTCTAAAAGTTAGCGATTGACAGCCAGCAGAATAACGTAATGAAATGAGAAAATAATTGATAGAAGAAAAAAAAATCTAAGCAAGTCATTTTTACTTTTGAAAATTAGCGCTAATATTTCATGACATATAATTCAATTATTTAGAAATTAAAGTTGTAGTGCCATTTACAAATTGTACACTTTTATATCCTTATAGACTTCAAACATTCGAAAACTTTGTTTCTAAATGTGTATAAATTATCTAATGTCTTTTAAAAAATCCTTTGACTCACGTCTTACAAAATATATGAAGAGTTTATTGCAAAACATAAACCGATTGATAAGCCGTTTTTTTTTAAATTCCCTCGACATTAAGAAATATCACTTATATCTATGGTAGGAGAGTAGTAGGCCCAGATAAAAAATCGTACTTTGCCTAGCTTTCTTTCAGTTTGTTTTAATGCTTATTAATGAATTTTTAGTTAAGTTAACGCTTTTCTGCTGTAAACATTGGGGGAAGAAATACTTTTAAGTAAGCTTTAGAACATAAAAAGGCTACGATATCTAGTCTGCCAGCTTATATTGGAATCTTTGAAGTATCCTTAAAAAGAGATTATAAAGAAGAAAAAAAAGAAGTTTATTTGTTTAAATAGCATTTTAGGACACCATATTATTTATTATAGCATCATATTAACATGATACTACATCCATCATATTAATTATCTAGCATCATATTAACATATTAGATATGAAATAAAGTGTTCTAATAAAAGACAATGACACTATAAGAATAGGCAGATGATGATGTTATTGTGATTCATTTAAAAAGCAGATGTTGTGACCACAAATATCAGTAGTAAATACAACAGTTATTTCTCTATTCCTTTACGTTAGAAACACAATCTAAAATCATTTGTTTTCACTATAATTTATTTCAACCATATTCTTTTACAGGCTGAAGAATGCGAAATTGTTAAAACTGGAAATTTAACAAATGGAACATATGTAGATAACAACAGGTATATATTATTATTTAATGGTGCTAATTGAACTTAAAAAAATATTAATGTTTTTTTATTCATCTTTTTTTTGAGAAATAATTTTCTATTATGTGTATAAATGATGAAACAAATAAGGTAGGAACTCCATGCTATGGAGAGTAGTATGTTAAGAGCACTCTTAATATGTATTTCACGAATCCTTGTTAAGAACCCAAAAGGCGCGCATATTCGGCATCGCATATTAATAATTAATCAAGAAGCAAACAAAAAATACTATAGAAACTGGAATGTGGATTCAATCAACAAGACAGGTTTGATTGCGGAAGGAAACAGAGAGGAGTTGAGGACGATTATTCTTAAAAACCTCAAGTTTCAATCTCCAATTAAAGCTGTTTCGATGTTTATTACATCTGCCTTCCTCTACTGCAATTGATCTGATTTCGATAGCGTTTTAACTATTTCTTCCGTTAAATATTAATTATTTATGCTTATTTATACATTTTTGCATCCTTTTTCGATGAGGATTTTAAGAATGCATATTGAGTGCTGTCTATACGGAGCATCCTGCTCACACAGTGTTCCACATTGAGCACTATTAATATAGATATTTAAAATTTATGCTGAAAATAAGTCAATGCTCAATGTGGAACACTGTGTGAGCAGGATGCTATAATGCTATAATAAATAATACGTTTATGCATAATTGCGAAACACCAAGGAAAAAACAAAAATGCAATGGAAATCTAATGAATTGTTACTGAGGAAGGCAGAACTAAAAACACCAAAACTAGTTTGAATGCTAGAGAAAACAAAGAAAATCACATATGAATTTTTTTTTTAAAATTTTGAATTAAAAATACCATTAAATATCATCGAGCAATCTTCCATATTGGGATGTGACTCTTTAGATTTAATTTTTCCCTCATTTAAATATTATTTCGAGGACCCTAAGGTGTATTCTCGCTTTTCTTAACTTCTGACTTGGATTCTGAAACTCTATATTAAGGGTTATTATTATAGAACACTTTACACTAATGCTAGTGAAATACTATGCCCTATGACTTAGTTTTTTTATTGAGTTCCTAAATTATGAACTTATATTCAGGATTATTCGTACCACACCTCTCTCAATATGCATTTTGAGATTCATGTTTAAAAGTGAAGTGAACTCACTTGTGACCTCAAACTAACAGCAAAAGCAAATCAACGAAGAAAATTAGACGAATCATTATCGAGCTCAATTAGAGTGAAAGTATAATAAAAAGTAAATTGAGGTGGATTAAAATAAAACGCAATGAAATTTGGTTAAAGACGATTCATAAAAAGACCTTTAATTTTTTTAGAACAATCAAACTGGTTTTGAAGACTTTAATACAGCTGACATTCTGTTTTATTTTTTTCCTTCATTGCTTTCAAGCATTTTTAAAATATGATTCCCAATATATCAACGTACTATTCAATATGATTTATACTAGAAAATTACTCTATGGTGTAGAAACTTTTTTTTTTTAAACATTTTTCTTTTCTACGTTTAATTTCAGACGGAGAAGTTCCTCGTCAAATCAACTCGTATCAAAAGCTACTGCACTAATTGGTATGATGTTATAATTTATGCTTATAAATTAATGCATGCCTCATTGAAAGATATTTTTTTGTAATTTGTGGTTTAATTAGCCTAATTATTTCTCAATTCGAAATTTTCTTCATTAATATTTTAATTATTAATATGAATGCCCCGTATAAACTGGAAAGTTACTGGAAATAAATAAAAAACCACCATGACACATAATGGATTAAACCTGGCATATCAAGTAATCGCTGGGTGAACAGATTTATAAATGCTAAGTTGCCATCCAATGTAAAACGTTTTTAAACATTTTCATTTATTTATAACAAATTTACTTACAGTCTGATTCGCTCACTCTCTGTTACTACAGTATTCTGATAGGAGCATTCACTTACTTCCTCCGTTCTTTTCTTCCTTCATTCACTCACTATATCAAGACTAATTTATCGAAACTGTGAATTCCTTTGCAATTCATGAAAAAAATATTGAATGTACTATAGCGCATGTTTTCGTTGCAGCGTGAAATAAGAAAATTGAGAGATAAGTTCAGTTCTTTTAGTAATATTTTCATCCGTAATATTTTTTTTCATTAATGAGGAAATCTAAATACGATGTCGAAATTTGTTTAACCCATCAGTTCTAAAGCGCAAACATGAAAAACACCTTTTGAAAAAAAAGAAATGGTATTACATATTTGTGTATACCAAGCTGCTACTTTTTTTCTCTTATCTTTAGCTTTTAAAAAGCACTTGAATTTAGATCCAAACAAAAATCTATATTGACAATATATCAGTTAATACAGAATTAGATTTTTCGTAAAAAAATATTCCTAATAGTGAAATGAGTACTGCGTATATCTGATACCATTTTTTTCTCAAAAATAAACCATTTTTTTTAAAGCAACGCTAGGAAAAAGTGGGTTTTAAGTCGTTAGATATTGCAGAGAATCTAAAATATATAGAAAAAATAATTTTAATTATTGAAAACAAAAACTTAATTTTTATTTCTCCCGTTTCAGAGAAGCTCAAAACGACGGAAAATAGAGATTTAAGGCGAACACTTTTTTCATTGAAACAAGTTTTCCAGGTATGATAATTTCTTACTATATATAAAAATCTAATGATGGTATCACAGTTTTCCATTGTTGTCCATAGAATTTTATTGGCCGGAAATTTTCCTCATTCATTTCCATATTGTTTCGGTTGTCATCGGCATAAAACTAAAAAAAGTCGTAATAAATATTTTTGTATCCCTAATTTAAAGTTATTTACGTTTTTAATTCAAGAGTTTAAAACTAAGAGAAGTGTTGCTGTTTTTTATTATTATTATAATGTAATTCTGCCCTACAATTTAAGATAAAGTTATTTAGGAAGGTGGTCTTATCTTATTAACTGTTTTACAATCATTATTATTTTTCAAATAGCATTAATATACTGCTATAAATTACAGTTAAAGAGATTTGTTAAATGATTCAAAACTTAACGATCATCCAATATATCCGCCCGTTTGGTAAGCGAAAAAGTATTAAATTATGGTTGTGAACTCATTAAATTTGTTTGAACACTATAATGTTATGCAATGTCTTAACAATATAAATGTTATTTTACAAAAATTATTACTTAGAAAAATTACTTCTGTTCACCAATAGATCTAAATACTTGTAATACTGATGGATAATAATATTTACACTAGTGGGAAGAAGAGGTAACAAAATTCCTTTTAGTACTACATATTGTATGTTAAGTAAATAATTTCAACTTTAGTATGAAAACTGGTTTCTGCCAGGAATACACCAATCATCGGGTTTGGTGAGTGGCAGCGAACAGGGGGCTTAGCCTCTTTAAATAATTCATCATGTACTTAAAGATTTTAAAGCTAGTACTGAGAGATTTATTGTCAGTAAATCTCAATATATTACTATTTATAATATTTCCCTAACCCCAAATCATATTCAATAATTATCGCTATCAGTAATTACTCACTCGTGATGTTGACGATAATGACCACGATATTATCTTTATTGATAATACTCGCGACATTATCGCTTCCAATTTTTGAGATTATTGATAATATTCATGATATAATCGTTGGCGATATGACTGGCGACAATAAAGTGTTTTATATTTATCACTATCGATAATGGTCATGATGTTATCGCCATGGTTGAATTTTCAAGTAATTAAAGTCTACACTCATCTAAAAGTATTCTCGGTGATTTGCAGGATGACAAAGATTTGGTCGGAGCCTTTATTGAATCCGATGGACTTTCGATTCTTGTCAAAGTCGGGAACGAATCTGACCACAGTTATCAGAATTATATTTTAAGAGGTAAGTGGGTTCATTGCTTTCAAAGGCTAAAAATGTTTATTTCCATGTTGGATGATCCGAAAAAACAGTCTTTTATGTTTATTTTTAGAATGCTTGTCAAGAAAAGTAAAAATAAATATACACATTGAGAATCACAACTTAATATTTAAGTTTGGTTTGCTACGGTTGATCACGTTGCACTTGAGCTACACTAATAGACTATTGGCAACGGTTCATCCCTATTAATTATCCGAAGACATATGTGACGCATGCTTGCACTACACTACCACAGTTTAGATAATACTGCAGATGGTAGTCATAGACATCTGACCTCCTTACCACGTTCCCCAACTGCCCAACACCGTGTGCTTTTTCGAAAACACCCGAACGCTACACTAATTTTGATTTACAAACCAAGGCTCGATCGGAGTAAATGTAATAATGAATCAGACGCTACACTACCACAATTTAATCGGAGGTGTGTCGGCCGGATTTTGTGTCTGCTGACTTGGAGCGAGATTTTTCTCACTCTACTTTTTTCATTGCGGGTGGTGCTCAGGACTCCTTGAGTGTGACTCAGGAACATCTATCGCTGAGTCCGCAATTTCTGGTGCAGTTGCTGTAGAGTCTTCTAATGTCTGGGAATGGGACTCACGATCTGGATTTCATAAAGATAATTATTATCCAGACACTCGGTCCTTAGCATGGGTAATCGAACCCTTGCCCAAGCTTTGGTATTAGAATCCACCACAACGACTAAGCGATTAATCTTTAAGTAAAAAAAGCTTCATCAAAATCAAATGAATCCCTATAGTGGAAAATTGGATTAAAAGCATAAAACATGTTTATTAGTGGAGCCTAAGAGGAAAGGAAGCGAAAAAGGACGAAGGATAAAACATTTCAACTCGTTGATGTTCATAATCTTGTCTTTCTCCAGAGTCTGATTTTTATATATTTTTAGTTTTTTCCACACTTAAATATCAATTTTGCTTCTCCTAATACCTATACCTATTTTTGTTATTCTTCTTGATGCTTAGTGTTCTTTTTTTTTTCAATTTTCTTCGATTGGGATTTTTGTTTTAAAAAACTCATACTTAATTGCTATTTTAATTCCAATTTCAGCTCTCGGTCAAGTAATGCTATATGTAGATGGCATGAAAGGTATAATGGAACACACTGAAACTTTAATATGGCTGTATAATCTGACTGCATCTAAAGTAAGTTTTAAAAATTATTTAAAAGTTAGGTTTTTAAAATTTCTATTTATTACACAAAATAACTTTACAAATTTGATTTTGGAAAATTTCTTTCCCGATTAAAAAGTAATCTGCTTTCAAATTTACACAAAATATTTTCCACTATAATGATACACAAAAACTCTGAACTCAACAAAATTTTTGTAAAAGTAAGTTTTTTTTTCTTAAAATCAATTTTAAGTTCTATACAAATTAACAAAATATTGAAATATCAAATTAATTTTTATCAAAAAAGGATTCCTTTGTATAATTATATGTTAATTTTTATTTCAAACTCTTCAGCTGATTTACAGATAATAATGAAAAAAGACTTTAAATGCTTTGATTGCTGAAAAAAAAAACAATAAGAGTAAACATTCTAGTCTTAGAATTATTAGTATTAAAATACCTATTTTAAAGAAAGAGGAAAAACATTTTTCTTTCGCTATAAAATAACTGTAAAAAAAGATAGAATTTTCCTACAGGTTCAATTTTTGTTTCAATTATAAACACCACTTTGTATGTCTTTGATGTCTTCTATCAAATTTGGCAAATGATTATTAAAATACTGTAAATTTAGAAATACTTGTTTCCGAATTGATGAAAATATCTATATATTTTCATTCAAATATTTGCATTTCAATTTCAAATGTAGTATTAATATCTTTAAATTATTAACGTCTTTCAATCAATTTTAAAAGTAAAATATAAATTTTGAAACATTTCAAATTTTGTGAAAGTAGAGGTGTTCTTAAAAAAATGTATGTGAAAAGCATTGCTTTTTTTCAGTATCGAATGGTATCGAAACTGGCTGTCAAGTTGCAACTCATGTTTGTAGAATACGCACCGAGTAATGCAATACTACTGAGAGATGCTGTCATGACTGTCGATAGATTGAAAGGTACGAGATTTTTTCAGTTAGAATGGTCCCCTTAAAAATAATAATCAATATATTAATACTGAGCAACGCTACGAAAATTAGAAGACATATAATAATTCATTTTTTATTTATCAATTTTTTTCCCTTCCTTTCGTTATAAGCAAAATACGTTTTTAGTACATTCTATCAGGATAAAGTTTTACCGCATTCAATATCATTTGGCGTGATGCTGTTTTGCATATTATTATTTGTTAATATATTATATTTAATATTATTTAAATAAAATATTATATAAGTAGGAATTAAAAGCTTCAAAAACAATCTGAATCTAGTATATAACAATAAATTTTTACGAAAGTAGTTTTAAATCCTTTATTTACTTTGAAAATATGACAGGAGAACAAGGCTTGTTTTAAATAAATATTATTTTAATTTTCAACTATCAAGGAAATATCACGTTCAATATGTTCATTACATCTGATGAACACAGAGATTTTAGTATTGCTAATTACAAAGATTAAAAGATTGTTCTCTAGTTGGAGTAAAGAGTAATACGCTTGTATAAAACTGTCATAATTTATCAACTACCTTGTAAAACCTGTAATAATTCAACTATCAAGAAGATATCAAGTTATATAATTTGTCAACTACTTTGTAAGAACTGTCATAATTCAACAAGATATCACATTAAAAATGTTTATGACACCTGTCAAATCCAAGGATTTTTGTACACATTTTTAGTATTGTAAATTACAAAAGTTTAAAAAATTGTTCCTCTAGTTAGAGTAATGAGCACTTGTAATATAACTGTCATAATTTGTATTGTCTTCAGGAAATCGTTTATGGAACAACGTGATGCAACATCTGAAAGAAAAAGACAATCTCGATATGGAATTACTAGTTTATTGCTTGACCCTTATTAACAAAGTAAGAATTTAAATATCGATTATCAATCAATTGTGATTTACAAAGTGAAAGAAGTTTTACTATGAATTTTGATTCTTTAAAACAGAAGAGCTTGTACTAATGTTACAGTTAAAGTAATAAATCTGGTAATACTAAAGGGTCAATATTAATAATAAACGATTCTTTTGACCAAAGTTAGAAATATCGCAAATAATTTACTTTAAGCGATTATTATTAATAAAAACCAATGAAGTTTTGTCAATGTGATTAAACGGTTTATATAGCATTGGGACATGGCTACTAAATTTCCATATATGGTTACTAAATTTCCATAGTTCCCTCAAATATACTCAAATTTCACGCCATATTATGCAGGGAAAAAACGATATTTTTTCAAAACATTTCTACTCCAACAGAAAAAAAAAACATATAAGGAGGAAAATTACAGAGGTGAAAATGAATCTAAAAGGTGAATCAATGAATAGATGAATCACTTTACAATTGAAAATTGAAAAAGTTTCGTAACTTATTGTTTGCTAAAAGGTAATTGAAGACTAAGATTTATTTTTAAGTTCTGGTCAAAAAAAGTATTTAAAAAAATCTTTTTAGTTTGAATGTTTGACTCGTTTAGTACAACAGCTTATTGTAAAACTATTACAAATGTCTCAAATTTTATGTTAGGTTAAAAATTTGTTTTAACTGCACGAAAAAAACAAATTGCGCTTTAAATAATGTTACGGATTTTTTTCAAGGGTTATAGCTTTATTGTTTATTTAGAATTACGTTCAGTTTATTTATTTAAAAATGCACTTATTATTTTTATTGAAACACAACCCCTAAAATAACAGCGGAAACTCCCAATGCTTGATACAGGAGTTCCCTTATCTTCTAGATTAGATTAAAAAGTTACAAAGCTACCGAGTTGAAAATTTGTTGACATAAACTCAAAATTGGGTCGGCTGTTCAACGACGGTTATAAAATTATTTTAAACATGAATACTTTTACATGAATTGTTGAAACATATATTTGTGACAACTTTAGTTACTTGTACAGTTAATTTATGTAGATATCGTATAATCAATTTCAAAATTTGACAAGTATTGTATAAATTGTCTCGATGTTATTGATTGTTGTATAAAAGATAGCGGACATTAATATTTTTACGAAATATATATATTTTTCAAATAGTTGGCAGATGGTTTTTCTGATCAAGATGATTACTTTGATTTCGTTGATTCATTGGAAGAGCAAGGGATGGAACAAGTGGTGCAATTCCATTTGTGTAGAGCCGGGACTGACAAGGAGCTCCTTAAGCAACTGCAAAGATATGAAGTAAGCTGCTGACTGGCTGCATCTATAAAGCTAAACTTTAACTTAAAAACAGCAAAATTTTGTTACTTTTGAATTAATTTGATAATTTCAAATGATTTATGAATTAGGCATGTTATGTCCCCTTAATTTAAATAAGTATTAAATTCTACACATTAGAAAGGTTTTAGGTTTCAATGCATGCATCAGATGAGTTAAGTAATCATTTTTCATGAAAGTACTATTCATTCGGGGCCTAATGCCCGAGGACCCGCATTTTTTGATGCTCGGCTGCATTTTTTGTTGTTCGGACTAACGGCTGCTGTAGAGGCCGGTATCAGAACAACACTCATCTTCATACGGGCATCTTGACCTGAATTGAGTTAACCCTTTCCTTCTCGCTCCCGTGAAAATGACGGGATGAGTTTTCGCTCGCTATTTCTCGCTCCCGTGATATTGTCGGGCTGGAGTGTTCAGTAGTAATGCGCCAATAAGAATAAAACTAATTTATTTCTTTTGCCCCGGAAAACATTTTATTTCTCATTTTACACTCTATATAGCAGTACCAGGATATTTGTGAGGTAATCGTAAATAGTTAGTTTATTTTAAACTAGATACTAACACCAATCAAATACGTGTATTTGGCAAAATAGACACTTTTATGACCATTTTCTTGAAAATCAACCGATCGTTAAGGGGTTAACAAATTGCTTATGAAAGTATTAACCAACTTCGGTAACCTTCTTAATTTCCTTACAAACATTTCCTTAAAATCAACTTGATTTCCTTTCCCTGTTTTCATTGTTTTTCTTGATTTCCTTTCCTTAAATTTGTCTTTGTTTCTTTTCTTTGGTTTAATTTAGTTTCCTTTCATTGGTTTCCTTACCCAGGACTCCATTGGTTTTTTTACCTTATCGACATCGTTTTTTTTTTACCTTGGTTTACCTTAGTTTCTTCCCTTTAAAATCAACTTGGATTTCCTTCTTTGGTTTATTACATTTTGTGGTTTTTCTTTGGTTTTACTGATCTGTGAAAAACTGTTTAGCAGCTCTTTATTGATCAATCTAAAAACATGGATTAAAAAGAAATGCAAGATTATTCCGTTTATTTGTAAAAACTGCACAAAAAACTCAAAATAATTATGTGTGCAACGGTCTTCTGAATATGGAAAGGCACTAGTTAAGTTAGTAACAAAACTCTGAAATTGACGAATTCGAAAGATGTGTTCCAGAAGTCCGTTGGTTGGTGCCAAAAAGAAAAAATTAAGTCAAGCAAAACCTATTTTTTAAAAAATCACTTTATGCTACGTATGGAAGTATATAGGTTTAATAAGCATCTGGAATAATTCGGTTACTTATCAAACAAATTTTCTTTCTAAATTTTGGCAAAAATATAAAGTACTTTTTACATGCATCTGTATAGTAACACATGTTATTATACAGTAGCAAAGAAAACTACTGAGATTTTGTGGTGAAAAGGTAAATTCTTATACTTCAGACTATTTTTATAAATTGTTTTTAACAATTAAATGTATTATAGAAAATATATATTGAAATAAGCAAAATGAACATTAACATTCGAATTTCGTTTAAAAAAAAGAAAGAAAGAACACCAAATGTGTTCCAACTGATTGTTTTTAAGCTTTATAACCAAATTTATAAAAATTTTCCACTTCGGTCTCCTTTTCTTCTATAAGAGATAACTTATTATGTATTTATGAGGACAGTTTAAGGCTTGCTTCTTATTTCTAACAGCAATTAACAATGAACTTTCTAAAAACAATCAATCTTTCTATAAAACATTGTACTTTGTAGGCAGTGCTAAAACACGAAGATGGAGAAGGAGATAGCAAACCTCCAACGGCCCCTTTCATTCAAAGGTAAATTTTATATCTTCTTATGTCAATACAACAATAATTTCTTAAACCACGTATTTGAAGGACATCAAAGTAATTATGTAATGCCATGTCCTAAAGTTCAGGAACAAGCATAATTTTGCTGTCATCTCTAGAAATAGTGAAATTTTACTTGAAAATACTACATATTGCAAAAATAGTGATAGCAACATAAACTCCTTTATTAATGGGCTTCATATTCCAATAGTGATGGAGCAAAGTGAGGCTTCTGTGGGGTATGAATCTTCCTGATAATAATGTTGTCCACGACGTTTTCAATCGTTTTGGGACAATAAATTCCAGTTTTTTTATTAAAGCAGGTTTTTGCCCCAGTAGGTTGCTTTGAGAAAAGTGGTGAAATGCAATTGCTATACCAAGAGCATTCCAAACATGATCCGTGGGATTCAGGCCAGGAGATCTGGGAGGACACTCCACTCTATGTACATTTTCAGTCGTAAGGTAACCCTTGATAAGTCCTTCCGTGTGATGAGTCATACATAAAATGAACTGAGGACCAACGATAATCTTCATGAGGTTCTCAAATCACGGAGATCTTTACCTCAGAAATGTCAAGGAGCTTCCTTGAAAAATGTACAGATCTGTATAGCAGTTCAATATTATACCATCCAGCACCATAAAAAATCGGCATTCCTTGTGACTCTCTTCCATGGTGTTCTTTTTATGCCAACTTGCCATTAACCATTGTTCACACAGAATCGAGACACAACATAGGCAAACATAGGCACTGAAGAAAACATAGGCACTGTTGTGCCTGTGTCAAAGGTACATATTGCGTGAACGAGCGGTTAGCGTGCCTGACTGCACAGCCAATGACTGCTGGTTCGAATCCAGCTCTGGGAATGGATGTTCCTCTCTATGTGTTGCCCTCTATTGTGTGTGATGTGTGAATGTGGTCCTCCCTACGAACGAGTATCTGTGACAGTGTGGCGTGGTTAGTGTTACTCGCCTCCGTGACTTCGGTTCACAGGAGCCCACTGGGTAACATAAATGAGCAGCACTTCCGAAATCTTCCCAGGTGAAGGACGTAAAAGTTCAGTACCTGTCATTAGAAAAAAAAATTTAAAAAAAATATTATGCGAAGACCTGGACTGGACTTATCTGATCTGAAGTGTCAGGAATTTTCAGATCCCCACCCCTCCCAGAAAAAACAACACCACAGTGTTTGTGGCTGTTCAAGTAATACGTTAAGGTCGGAAATATTCAGAGAATGAAATGATCAGCTAAATATTGAAATCGGAATTCCACCGAGAATGTCTGTAATGAAATTTAATTTATTTCTTACTTTCCGGAAATCTCTCAGTGCTGAAAGTTACTTTAAAGGTCAATTGAGATTTATTGTCGTCCCCACACCTAAGATTTACAATCCCATAGTATTTGACAACCTTTTAAACAGCATTAGAGTTTATCGTGAGACCTGTATAACCATCAGAGAGATATTAAGTTCATGCCAGTACCATTTCCTTGATATTGTTTCATACAAATTTTCAGTTGATTTGGATGACGTTGCTTGGGTTATCCGAAACAAAAGTTTGCACCTTACGTTTTCGACATGAATGTATTAAAATTCAAACTACTTTAAGTCGATTAGTTTGTAATGTTCCTATTTATTCCATGAAAATACAATTTTAAAATTCTGACAACAGTTTCTTATCAATTATCTATACATAATTTGAGCTGATTCACTATCTTTACTTTAATTGAAATTATGATATAAAAAACTTTATAACAAGCTTCTTTACCATTGCTTAAAAATACGCAATTTCGAATACTGATTTAACTATTCTAATCAAACTTACAGAACGAAGAAAACTAGTTTATCAGGCAGGAGGACAAGTCAAGAGGGCAGAAAGAGTCGCCGACATTCCACGCCAGTGGTACCTACCTTTATGTCTCCCAAATCTCCTCCAGCTGTTTCACCTACAGTCAAAACTTCAGCTCCCCCATGGGTTAGAAGGTAAACAAGCTTACTTCGCCTTTTTTTAAAGATTTACTCTTTGTTCTAAATAATTCATTAATAACAGCAATTTTCCAATTGGTCCACTTATCACATTGTAGGAAACATAACAGAGGTGTCAGAAAAATCAGCCATTTTTCAGTGTAAAACTCAGTGCTATTTCAGCTTTATACATGGAAAATAGGAAATAGCAGCTTTGTTTCTTGATCTCAAGCTTCCAATTGGCAAAATATTTTACTCTCTGGCGGCACTCATTTGAACTTTCCCGGTCAAAGTGCTAACATTTTAATCAGCTGTCAAAGCTACTCAACCACAATTTGTATGAACCTTCGACCTTTTTTCCACTTCACAATCACTTAAAGACTCCATTCCTTCAACTTCTGAAATCTCCGAAATTTCGTGCATTTTCAAATTAAATAAGTGTTGTACAGTTAAATAAGTGAATTGGTGTATTACTGAATCAATATATCATCTCGTTGCTGTCTCGCCCTCATTGGATATGTGGAATAAGTAAATAAGCGTTTGAGCTTATTAGTGAGAGAGGTATTAGAATAGACTAATCAGTGAATCAACGAATCAGCTTGCTACAAAATAAAATAAAAAGTTTATAAAGTTATAATTTGTGGTACGGTAGTCGATGATCACAATGTTTGTTTATTGTTTAGGGGCAATTTTCACTTGAACATGCTTTCTTTTCATAGACTCTTTGATTTTCTTTTACTACTGATGCAGTCGCTGTTGTTCGTGGCTATGTCCTTCTTATGCGTGAGGTAGGTTTAGCAAGTTCCACGAAACATTTTCTTCGTTCATTCCCCCAAATGGTGTGATTCCTCCTCACCAACGAGAAAACACAAAGCATGTGGAAAATATTAATGGTATTGTAGAGAATAACAAGTGTCCAAATAAAAATCTTCTTTTGCATGTTGAAGAGACTTGAGTTTTCTGTCTTACAGAACACTTTTGTTAGAAGTTGCCCAATGAAGATGCAAAGATATCTGAAGGAGCTTCAGCTCCATGTATATTTTACAAATAGTTTAATTTCTTTAATCTTTTTCTTAATAAATGTTCAGTAAAAATGGTAATGGAATCTTCATTCTACAGAAAGTGTATTAAAATTGACTTCAGTAAAAATTTGATACGTAAAAATTAAATTTGAACACCTTTCCTAACTAATGTAATTCGAATCCACGACTGTGAATATAATAGAATCAACACGGGCCTTTACAAAAGCGTGTAGTTTATTGAAAAATGCATAAAGTTTCATCATTATATTTAGAGCTATTTTCTTCTTAGCAAGAGATGTAGTTAACTATTATAATCATGGACACTGGGACCCTAATTTTGTATTGATCAGAGCAAATTATTTTAAAACAAAATCAGTTTATGTGATCAAAAAACTGTTTAAACGGTGGCAAGCGTCTTATTTTTAAAATATTAGCGTTTAATTGTCATTAGAGGGATAAAAACTTTTTGCCCAGCTTAATTTTTGATATGAATTTTTATATGCTTTCTTTGAACTTTCTAAAACAATATTAGCTAATTTTTTGCATGCCGTGTGCCAAATTTTTTCGATGGTTTCAGATGAGTCTAATAACCCGACCATTTTTTATATCGTTTTCCGTTCAAGCAGCTAAAGAGTGGATGCATGGATGAATAAGAATAAATATACACGCGGTAAAGTTAATTTATTTATGCCAGCATGATGAAGCAGTAAACGACATAAGTCGAGAAGGGTCTTCAGAAAGACAAGGTGATAACAAGTGAAAGAGAAGAATATTCTTAACGTCAATTCGAATACCGGAACAAAATTTGAAACTGAATGATCAGGAAAGGGATGTTTGATAGCAGAGCATAATTTTGATTAATGATGAGCTTGCCCTCTAGTTGTAAAACTAGGAGTAAGCAATGATCTGAAAGTAATTAAATAAAAATTAATAAACAATGGGAGAGTGGCTACCCGTAATATCAGAACTGACTAATACGTCACTTGCAATTAACTGATGGATCTCAGTTTGGCTACTATGTGATAAGAGATTAATTGGCTACTTGCAGCTTGAGAAGAAGTGAAGTGATTATGTCTAACCATGTGGTTTAAATCAGATTTGATTGGATACCTCTAAGCAACGTCCCGTGTATGTGTTGAATGTGATTGGCTTTCTGAATCGACAAATGCCCCGGTTTCCCCAAAGATGACGTCTCTTGTAGATATCCAATAATAATTATTTTATGCATGATTATAAATAAGGTTCTTTTAAATGGTGTCAACTTGGGGGTCTCTGAAGCACACCATTTTATGAGTTTGCGATAGATATTAAACATTTCATCTGCCATTTGTTATTTCTTGTAAAACTGATAACTATTTAAAATAAAAAACGAAACTAGTCCCATTAAAACTCAGAAATTATAGAGTTTCGGGTTTTGCACTTATTTACGTTTATTAAATGAGCAAAACATTTCGCTTCATGTTTTTCTTTTTAGAAAGAATTGTTAAAAATACAGTAGTCATTAGAAATTCAATTTCAGTATATATCAGTAGCCAAATCAGTCTTGGTAAATCTACCATCGACTATTGTCTGATTCCTTTTATTTTAAATGATTATCACTGACATTTAAATCACTTATTTGTATTTATAAATCTGACAAAAAAAAATTTTTTTTGAAAATATTTAGAAGTTTTAGGTTGAAAATTGAGAAAAACGTTAAAACAAATTTTATAATTTCTTTTTCAAGCCAACTTTCATTTAACATTTTATAATACGTGTATCTTTTAGAGATAGCCGAGATGCTCTTAAACCAACAGAGACTTCCTCTACTATTAAAGAGCCTGAATTGGACATCGATGGTATGTTTAGACTTATGTAAATACTTTCTAGCATTATATTTTCTTTCAACTTTCTTGATATAGTTTAAAACCTTTTTCTGTGTTTCTCTTTTGTTTTACTGATAGGAAAATAGTAATATTTTCTTGGGTTACAAGCTATTTCCTTTACAATTGTTTAGAAAAAAACATTTTTTTTAAATAAAAAGTGATAATACTTATATATTTAAATATATAGAAACTGTGAACCCAAAATAAAGATTAAATAAGCACATTTACATTCTCAATTTATCTTAAAAAAATTCTCAATTTATCTTAAAAATTTAGCCTGAACATACAGGTGCAGACTTTAATGCAACAAAAATCTGTTCTACTTGTGTTATTCAATGGAAAAGTAGTGAGAAAGAGAGAAATTGTAAAACAATTTTACACAAGGTTTCACACGTAGAGGGTTAAACAAATAAGCTTTCAAAATAAATTTTTCAAGAGTCAAATTTAATATTTTTTTAAATTTAAGTATTTCGTAATAAATTTTTAGAAAAATAATATGCCATACTTCCAGAAAATTTAAGCTGTTAACGCAAGTGTGTATAACTTAAAAGTTACTCTTAAAGTCGTATAGTATAGGGAATACTAGAAATTAACCTAATAAAGATACCATGCATAGTATACCTTTTAGTACTCTACAGAATCTATTTTAAATTTATAATTCAAGTATTTTTTGAATAACGTTTTACGTCTTCTAAATTCGCTCACCTCCTTGACAATGGAGATTTCTTTAGGACAATTATCTATTTTTAAGAATTTGAATACAAATAGGTATTTGTAACAAAATTCGCATTTTTCCTAAATAATAATATCGATGACACAAGTACTGGGACGATAAATTTAAAAATTAGTTTCCCTTGCACTCCCTTAAAAACAAAATATATGCTTTAAGTTAAAAACATTTAAAAAGTTAATTATGTTTAGATTAATGACAGACTTTTGTATTATTCAGATGACACTGGCATTACACCTGCTTTAAGACGAAGACGAGATGCCAGAAACCGGACGCTCACAGGGCAAAGTGATCCCAATTATCCAGCTCCACAACAGACATTACCTTCTCCAGAGGTGAAAGAAAAACCTACATTCCACAGTGACAGAGCTAGTAAGTACTCTAGTCCATAACATTAAATGGAGCATAATTCCATATTTTTTTGTCAACTAGAAAAGTGATTTCTAGCTCTGATAAAATTTGTTGATGTCCTGCCCCACTAAATTCAACAAAGCTTTAGTAGAAGAAACTAAACTCTTCGGATATACAAATATATACAGTCAGTGTCTAACTCTATAAACTTTATACAACTCAGAAAACAAAAGAAATTTCCTGTCCTGTATCAAGCTTTATGATAAACTCGTCCTTGTGGTTTGAGTGACTCACATTTGCCTTACATTAAGGCGAAGACAGTCAATGGTCATCGCGGTGGCAATTGTCTGTGATCCATCAACCCGAATTGCTCAAAAATTCAGTCAACAACCGGATAACAAATATTCAATTGCTTCTTATCATAATTACAAGTAATCGCAATTATGTTTCAAAAGTAATCATTTTAAGTAGGCTTTAAGCAATAATAATCTACAATTGCTTTTTGCATCGTGCTTATGAGCAATAATAATACACAATTACTATTTTTAACTGAGTGTTTTTAAGAAACCATGAGTGACAATGGCTCTGCGATCAAAGCTCTGAAGTGTTCCGATGTTGAATCGGGGTTCGATCCCCAGTGACGGCTTGGAGCCCACTTAGCTTCAGATCGATGGGTAGCAGCTTGACTGGGAATGAAAGGTGACCTGATCACATTGGCACAATCTTGCCGTTGTTCAAAAAATTCTGGAACCTTCTGGGCCCTAACGGACTCTTGCGAGAATGTTCTACTTTACTAGAAATCATAATCTACGATGAAAATATTAATCATAATGATCAAAAATGATGGTTTACGATTATTAGTAATTATGATTACATCTGATCTTGATTGCAAGTAATCATGAATATATCCGATCTTGTTGAGTTAGTATTGTAATCAACTACATTACTCGCAGCTCTTACATCAGCCATGCAGATAATTTCTATAAACAAAGATTCATGATAGCCGACAGCAGTGTAGAAATTTAACAGTTACTGCAGGGATTTGACCTGTATTACGTGGTTGTGGCTCAAAACAATATCTGAAATTTTAGTGGTGCAATAGCATTTAGGGTGCCTAATTTACCCCTTAATGCCGGTCCACATAATGTGTACCGTAGGAAAAATACCTACATGAAAAAAGTGGTAGTACGTATTTGTTTATACCTAAGATATTAAACTACTAATTTAGCTTTAAAAATTCACTGTGTTTTGACTTCAAACAAAACACAGTAAATATGCGCTAGTTACATGCCATTCATTTGTGGTAATTGACAACTAGTGAACTTTTCATTTTGTGACGTACTATCTTTGCTCTGAATACAAGCAAATAACTATTCTGAAGTGTGCTAAGGGGCTTTTCCTTTCTCAAAAATACACAAAGTAACGTAAATAGCGTGACGTCAAAAATACACAAAGTGTGTAACGTAATTGGACCGGTTAAACCTCTTCGCAGACAACGAAGATCTCTTCGATATGTGACAAATGTAAACATCGGAAACGAAACAGTTATGAGGCTACACCCCGTTCTAGTCCAGTATTATAAGCTCTTATGATTTACGCCGAAAATAGCCAAATAATTGATATTGTAATAAGGTTGTAAAATTTAAAACTTTTTTATTTATGTATATGTTTGTTTAATACACTGTATAATGCAAATACGCATAATAATACGGCTACGCATTTTTCTATGAGCGGTTGTGACTGATACTACATTTTCTCTGTAGCGTGATTTGTAACTGACTTCACTAATAATTCAGAATAATTATTCCTTCTATATTGGTTGACAATAATCATTTATACCGCAATGTTCTTTCGAAATATATACCAAAGGGAAAAGTGAATTTTGATCATTATTTTTCTTCAGCCAGACCTTCCTTGGTGAGTAAGCAAAGATCGTTATTTGAGAATCAGAAGGAAGAGGAACCACCACCCAAGGAATCACTCATTCGGAGACCGAGCAGGGGTGAAACTTCTCTAGTCAAGCAGCAGGTACAACAGGAAATTAAGCCTGTACCTCCTCCATCTCCCACTAAACTCCCATTCGTTCGACAGAATAGTTTATCAGGTACGTATAACACATAATTCCTTACTCATTTTGATCAGGCTACTCGAGATTTTTCTTTAATATGTTCTGCGTTTTTAATACTGAATAGAGAACACATAATAGATGGAGCTTCCATATAATTTCGTTTTTAATGTAAGCATTTGTCTTAATCTTCGGATTCAGAAACGAGTTTTGCTAGTTCCTGCCTCCTGTATAATAAACTCAGTTTTTTTTCCAAGAGGGAAAAGCAGTGTCTTCTGTTGCTGAACAAATTGAACTAAGGCAAATTTTTACTTTTTGTCTATAAGTTCAGTTTACAAATAGCTTTGGCATGTCTAAAAAAAAAGAAAGTCAGGAGTTGTTATTAAGCAAAATATTGTGAAAGTAAATAAGAAATTAATGAAGGTGTTTCAGACATCTTCACAGCTATAGATTGCTGATCTAATTGATTAACCTAAGCCCAATAATCTTACTTGTCCTTTAAACCCACTTTTGATTTCAACAAAGCTGACCTAATAGTTTAATTAATTATCACAGGCCTGCGATGAAAAAAATACAAGGGATCTGATAGCTGAACTTAATGTATTTTTTGGTGCTGAAATGGAAAATAATAATGAAAAATTTCTATCATGTCACGTTTTTTTTTAAAAATTCAATTTTACTGGAATTTTTATGAACATTTACCATAAAAATTGTTTTCGTTTTTCAATTTCCTCCCTTCTTGACAGACCAGCATTCTACTTTAGTTAAATCTACAAAAGTACCCCTCTATGACTACTTCCTGTCACCATCCCTCTCTCTGTCACAATCTCTCTTTACCAATAGCGTCGCAAGAATTCTTATCTAGATTTCTGACCTCTCAGAAACACTAGCAAGCGTAATAGGGAGTCATTTTAACGTCTGCTTTTTTCTCTACTTTTCGTGAAACATAGCTTCGAGTTCGAGACATTGTGAAAATTTCCCAGATGACTTTTATTATAAATGCGGGGAATGTAGTGTTATTAAAAATCGCATGAGGAGCATTACAGACTATGTAAGACAACTTTATTTCACTGCTTTACGATTTGGAATTCCTATGAGGTGGAGGGAGCCCAAAAAGCACTTTGATGACTGTTATTTTTGTTCCTGCCATGTTCGTGGGTATAACCGGAAAAATCGAAGGCTAATATATTATCCTGATAGCATTCCATCAGCCATGCCCCGTTCCTCATGGACCTGATGTGCCTGTGCCTTTGCCCCCAACTGAATTGCCAATCATCTCTTCAGAGTCTTCAAACTCGGAACATCCAGAAGTTCAAGGCTCCGATATCGATTATAAGTCATCTGTAGCTGGTTCACCTCATCCCTTCTCTCAGGTTGAACCTAATGATCTGACTAGAGATCTTGACCTTGCTAAAGAGGCAGCTGAATTGTTAGACTCCAGACTGAAAGAAAAAATTTATTGACCAAAGGAACATCTTTTTATTGGTACAGAAATCGTGAAAAGGAATTTATTAAGTACTTTGATGAAGAGAAGAAGTTGGTCTATTGTTTTGATGTTCCTGGATTGATGAGCAAATTTAATTTCATCTGCGATAAAGATGAGTAGAGACTGATAGATTCATCTAAAAGAAGTCTCAAATCTGTTCTTCTTCATCATGGGAGCCAGTATGTATCTGTACCAGTTGGACACTAAGTATATTTAAAAGAATTCTATGAAAACCTGGCTCTCGTACTGGTCAAAATAAAATATATCGACCACAGTTGGACCATTTGCGATGATTTGAAAGTTATCTCCATGCTTCTTGGTCAACAAGGTGGATTTACAAAGTTGCCATGTTTCATTAGTGAGTGGGACAGCCGCGACAAGACTCAACATTGGGTCGAAAAAGAATGGCCGAAAAGACAAAATCTTGACCCAGGCGCAAAAAACGTTATTCGAAACAGCTTAGTTTATCTGAAAAAGTATTGTTACCTCCGCTACTTATAAAATTAGGTGTAATGAAGCAGTTTGTCAAGGCTGTTCCAAAAGATGACGATTGCTTCAAATACCTGTGCAAAAAGTTCCCAAGCCAAGTTGAAAGAAGGAATCTTTGTCGGTCCAGATATCCACAAACTCATGAAGGATGAAGAATTTGAGACTAACATGACATCGACGGAAAAAGAAGATTGGGTTGCTTTCAAAGATGTCCTCAGTGAATTTCTGGGTAATTACAAGGATCCTGATTATAAGAAAATTGTAATGAAAATGCTGGACAAATTTAAAACATTGGGTTGCTCCATGAGTGTAGAAATGCATTTCCTTCACTCACATGTAGACTTCTTCCCGAAAATGTAGGAGCAGTCAACGAAGAACAAGGGGAAAGGTTCCATCAAGATATCAAAGATATGGAGCGTATATATCAAGGAAGATGGAACAAGAACATGCTCACTGACTACTGTTGGATGATAGCTCGGAATAGACCTGAGATTAAGCATAAAAAAAGATGATCAAAAATAAGTTTCAGAGGAAAACGAGTATGTGCTTAAATAGAAACTTTTCTCTTTTGTTTTTTGTTTGTTTTGTTTTTTTGTTTCAAACTTTCATATACACATGCACAATATTTGCTATTTTTGGTCAATAGTCAATTTTACGTAAGTTATCTTAATAAATAAATTAAAATGGTATGTTAGTGATTTTCTTCTAGAAACTGATGTAAAAAGTGTGAACGCAAGGAGCTTATTGTGTTTCTCTCGGTCAGAAGTGACTTGTGCGGTTTGTAATAGTATTTTGTATTCATTTTAACCTATAAAAAGTTAGCTGATAGCTCAAAAATCAATTTTCTTCCACAAGATTCAACTTTACATAGATCAAAATTAATGAAGAGAGTAGTTACCGGATAGTACATGCAAAATTGCTTGAGAGAATTCCTTTCCAAATAGCATTTTAGTAAAAACATTAATATCGATTTTACAAAAAATCCTGATGTGATTGGGAAAAATGAAGGTCATTTTCGAAATCATCGCATAAAATAACATATAAATCAACAATAACTTCTCTTGCATTTTTCAAAAACTTCAATTTCGCAGGCTTGTGTTATTAAAGATTCCTATTTGTCCATTTTTATTAAAAATAAATCTATGTTTGTTAATCAGAAGATTAAAAGAGTCGATTATTGAATCAATCGAAGTTAAATTTGCATACTGTAACAAATATTTTATTAATTTAAAACTTATTTTACTAATTTTAATGTATTTCATTATTTTAATATTTTTAACAATGTATCTTAACGCGTAATACATTAGAAAATCTTGGCTAATAATAATTATTTGTAATATTTTCATTCCATTTTCTTACATGTTACTCCATGCATTATAAAATAAATGCAAGATTTTAAGAAACACAGTAAAATCTTTTTCCAAAGCCAAATATTTCATTTTTAAAATTTATTTCTTACTTTTTAGGGTCTGTACCACCTATTCCAAGTGTCCCAACAACTCCACCAACAAATATACCTAAGCCTTTTTATGGGCAACCAAACAGAAGTCCAGTACCATACACTTCACCCGTGGAACCACCTAAATTTCCAACCAATAAATCTTGGGATGCAAACCAAAATATCATTGCACAATCCGAAGAAACTTCTCAGCCGAAATTCCCTCTGAAAAAAGATGGAAGTAGAAAAGATATTCAGAATAAATTTTTGTCTCAAGAAAAACCAGTGGCACCTGAACCTTCCAGAACGAGGTTTGGTACGACTCCTGGAGTTGTCAGTCGAGCCAAAGAAGGGCTTGCTGGATATGGTACAACCACAAGAACGGAGCCTAAATCTCCTCAAGTAAGTTAATGCTACGATTAATCAAAGTTATCGAGAAGTTAAAAGATCGTAGAGAAAATAGGACCTTTATGCGAACATTGATCACGATCTCGTTAAGTACGCCGAAGTTTCTGTTCGATCATAAAACTGTTCGAATAATGCTCAAAATTATTTTTCCTAAATTATGAAGTTAGTTAACATCATCACATCACCAAATATAAATAAATAACTCACTATACTTTTATCTATTGTGAATAAAGTGCAATCCTTTCTAATTAGATGAAAAAAAGTTTTACAAGATCGTAAAAAAACACCGGTAAACGTTATGGGAAAATAGGTCTACACAGTACACAGCTTTAAAATTTAGTTCACGTAAATTTATAGCTTTGTAATTTAACTCCAAGTCATGTTGAAACATTACACATAACTAATAAGATAGATTTTTCTCTTTTTGCTTTATGTCAGTCGACAGTAAAATTTCGAGACAAATTGAAAAGCTAATTTTTATTTCCAGTTTCTCTGTTGTTTCTTTACTTAACACTCTATAGCGCACTGCCGTAAAATTTGTTTTACAGATAGTAAATTTGTCTCAATAGATGTAGAAATATTGCCTGAAGCTGAAGTTGATGAAGTTGACAGCTTTAAGACTTGGGTTTATAAGCACGCTTTATCAATTTTCAGATCAGATTCAGTCAGACACTTGGAAGTGACGTCACGAGCGTACGTCTAACCTGATTGGTTGACCCTCACGTGATGTCATTAAAGTTGAAACTGACTTTTTAGTTCGAACTTTCGATGTAAAATTTATAGCTTTACACCATATATCACGAAGCGTTAAAATAAAATTAAATGCTTTATATAAAAATATCTCTCCCATAGGGTCACGATTTAAGGAGATCAGCCAGTGGTGTCAAGGAATTGCATTGGGATCAACTTTTGCAAACAATGCGGCGACCACTTCGTATAAACGATCTTGATTTCTCAGATCTCTGTGATGATGACGATGTCAACATTCTAATGAGACCGGTGAATGCAGCGCCCTTCCCTGGAGCACCACCACCACCCCCTCCACCCGGAATGGGTGGTCCACCACCACCTCCTCCACCCCCAGGTTTAGGAGGACCTCCAGGACCACCCCCACCTCCTGGAAGTTTCGGACCACCGCCGCCACCTCCTGGAGGATTTGGTGCACCGCCAGCTTTAGGCATGAATAGAGGTGTACCTTCCCCACCGCCATGGCTGAGGAAAAATTCACCGAATCCTGCAGACCAAAATCAGGCTAATTTCAACAAAAGAGTAAAGACTGTCAAACTATTTTGGAAGGAGGTGAAAGTCAATTTTTGTTTTTGCATGACAAATTGAAAACTAAAAGCAATGATCTTTCGGTGCATTTAGTCGGAATAATGTAAAAGTATTAATATTCATCAATACTTGGTTGATACGAGAAGTCATCAATTTATTGCACATTGTTGGAATCTTGGGCATAAATTTAAATTCAATAATGCCGAAATTATTTCCACACCAGTTACATCAGCTCATCTTGATGTCCTGGAATCTTGTTTTATTCATATGAATGCTTATCCCCTTGTCAACGACATTAGTTCCTCACCACCTCTCTATTGCGCTTGGAAATGCATTCTACCCTGATTTGTCTCTCTCATCTTTATTTTTATTCACTTTCGACTGCTGAGGTTTTTCTAGTTCTTTTTTCTCACTTATTTCTATTTTTAGTTGGCGACTTTAAGTTTTAAATTTTAAATCACTTATGTTTCCTCTCATTCCCGTCTGGCAAGTCTTGAAAATAGGCATCTAATTTTGAACCCTTGAAACATGTCGATTGTTATACCCAATCTGAATATTTTTTGAAGTGAAGGAAGTTTTTTAATCAAATAATATCTTATCGTTCAAGTTTTTTGGCCTTACTTATTTAATATTTATCATTGTCACATTCACTTAAGGATTTTGATTTAAAAGAATCGTGTATGTGGACACATTCTTTAAATGCACGGTTTCAGAGCAATCAGTTTTATACTCTGCTGCAAGTTAAGAAGAAACCATTATCCCTATGGAGAGAGCATACTTGCATCTAATTGTACTTCAAATTCACGATTTTCTTCTACAGTGAAACAAAAGTCGAAATTCCTTACCTCACATTTGATTTGTTAAGGGCATGTCAGCTTAAGACGCGCCATTTTGAGTTGTCCAATCAAATCCAATGCTCTTGCAACGACAGATGTTTTTTTTTTTTTTCAAGAACAAATATTCTTATTTATCGAAATGCGTCGCCAGGTCTAGGATTCCATTAATACTTAAAAACTATAACCTTTTTTTTAATAACTCTGTGATATATATCGTAAGAAATAGAGCGAATTAAATATTTGTTCGGTTTGTTAAACTTTTAAAAGCTTTATATTGTTTTGAAAGCATATTTGTTTAATCTGATACCTAAATAAAGCAGAACTATCTATGCAGCCTCTGATGATTACTTAAATTCTATACCGCAAATGGTCTTTTCTTAACTTACAACAGCACGTTTGTTGTGGTCAGAAGAAATCTAGAACGAAAATGCCTGCTTACGGTTTTTGTGGAATAATAGTGCTTGCTCAAGAATATGATAACTAGACATTGTAAGTGATTGCTTTCATTTGAATAAATGAGAAAACAAATATTTCGACCACACGACTTCCGACATTTGCCAGATGTGACTTATTTATACAGTCCCTGGCCGAATTATTAGACGCATTATAAGATTCTATGTAACATTTAAATTATCAGGTGATACTATACAGCCTTATTATTGTTTTTATGTGACTGAACCCGGTTTGTACTTATTTACGTTAGTGTATCAATTGGTTAAATTGGACGATATATTATATAAATATTTATTATATCAAGCATTATATTAGTATATTATAATAATTAGATCAAATTATTAGACGCAGTATTAGATGTTTTAATAATAACATGATTTGCACGAGTTTATAGGCAATACTTTTATATTTAAACACACATGTAATGGATTTTTATTCAGGAGACTTTTTATATGTACCTATTTGTATTTATTTCTAACGTATTGTTAACCAACTGATAACAGGAGCGTAAACAAATGCAAATCCCTTTCATCCGAGTAAAAAACAATACAGCCTGATAATTATAATTTTACACAGAATCTTTATAGTGCGTCCAATAATATGGCCAGTATATTTAGTTTCATTTAGTAAGGAGCAAATATTGAATTGATTTCATTTTTTTTATTAACGATAATATTACATAGATTCTTTAATTAATATTTTAATCCAGTTTTACACACCTTTTTAGGACGGCTCTAATCATAATACACACAGGAAATGTTTTTTCCACATTTCAGTTTGAAACACATTTTTTAAATTTCTGTAAAAATGAGAATGATCATTTGAAAGTTATTGATGCTACCTTATGAGAATGTTACAAGTATTTACAAATCTATTGTGACTCATTTAAAACTAAAATCAGTAAAAATTGATGTTTTAATTTTCTGATGTAACTGAAACTAATTAGACTTTAAAAGACGTCTATTTTAATTTATGTTCCATTGAAACAACCATACTTTTTAAGTTGAGCATTTTTGATTCACATTTTTCAAAAATTGAGTTTTTTCTACTACATAATTTTTTCAAAAATTCATATAAAAATCAAATTTAAACAAGTTATTCTGTTTTCTTGAAGACAAATTTCATTATGTGAAAAATATATAAATCAAATTTTAATACAATTACTTTCAGTAGTTTTTTTTTAAGATATATCAATTTTTAAACTGTTAAAAAATGACCCTGGTGGAAATGTTAGTTAAATTTCATTATCAGTTCTTTTAATAAGAAAGGGGTAATGGAACCCTATTTTGCGTTCTAATTAAGAAAAGAACTAAAAATTTTGAAAAGAAGTAATAACTCTTTAAAGAATAAAAATAAATATTCAAAATTTGAAGACTTTTTGTTTCCGATTTTTGCTGTTGTTTGGTTCGAATTTTGCTGAATCATTTTTTTTTCTTATATTAATCTAGAGCACGCATCAAGTGTTCTGTAGATTACATTCTATAGAATTCCTAGGCTTTGCATGTCATGTCTGACGTTTTTAGGCAAAGTATGAAACATTATAATTTCTACATACTTTCCCTAGGCCTTGTATATAATACCTAAGAATTCTACAGAATGATAAATGGTGAATGATAAAAAATTTTTTATTTAAAATACGTAAAGAAAAATGAAAGTTTTACGAAATAAAATTGATGTGTTCCCTTATAAGGGAAGGAACAATATAAGAATAAGAAGTTTTAATATAAGAAATAAGAAATTAAAATTTACCTACTTGTTGCAACATATAAGGCTTGAACGACTTCTTGAATTATATTTCATTGCATTCGATTTTTCATTACCCTTCGTTTTTTTGGCATTTTTGGTAGACTTTACTTTACAAAACTGTACAGATTTGTAAATTTTTTCAAATGATTCAAAAAGTTTTTAGATAAAATTGTTCTTTTCTTGCAACTTTTGGTTGATTTCCTGATATTTTGTATTAATAAACGAAATATTACATAAAAATTTGTTCATCAACGGGTTAAATACTTTCTCCAAAAAGGAGTTTCTTTTATTCTTATTAGAAGCTTATTGGAATATAAAATTACGACTTTAAATTTAGAATGTTCTCTCATAACCATTCTTAAAATATGTTTTTAGAATCTCTAAAAAAATGAGGACTAAAAATTTTTTTAACGTTGTTGTCATAAATATACATTTAAAGAAGGAAATAACAAATGTGTCGTCAATCTTTTGCGAATCATATTTGAGGTAAATCGGAGCAAGGGAGGGAATAAAATAATTAAAACCCAGTTTATTTGTAAATGTACTTGACGAAACATAGTGATTTTCAATCCTAACGGACAAATACACTAGTTTTTACTATACTTCATTATTACTTTGTAGATCCTTATTTTGAAAATATAAAAATTTTCGTCCGTAAAGATTATATATTTAAGGGCAGTGATTACAAAACACCTTGTATGACTCCCATGTTAGGTGAAAGAAGAACCCATGTTGATGGACAGGTCAGGAAAGAAGAGAACGATCTGGGACGAACTTAAACCAGTTCCACTTGACATACAGCGGCTGGAGAATCTTTTTGAAAATAAATCAAAAGACATCATGAGCAAGGTACGCTTTCATATTTTCGATTCTATTTCTATTTTATACAGAGTTTGTTTACATTTGCAACTATAAACATATTTTATCAAGAGTTGCAAATTTTGTCAGGGGAGCCATCCCCTCTGTAGAGGATCGAAATTGCGATGGCATGTTTCCGGATCATCCTCAGGGATGTTTCCCAGACAGTCGCCAATAGCCCATTGTGTGGCTCTAGAGCGACGTAAATAAAGTACCTACCTACATATTAATTATAAGTGTATTTATTACGTTCCCTTTCATCCTCATTATACAAATGTTTTTGATTGTATGTTAAATATATGCTTGCATATATAAGGCAGGTCCAGATTAGATTTATATATACATGTATATATATATATATATTAAAGTTCCAGGCAAATTTATAAAAAATTATTCTATATTTACAATATTTTACCTATGTTAGAAGCACAATGAACATGAAAAGAATAAAATTTATATGTGTGAATAAAATTATGAGTGAATAATTAAGTGTGAGAAAATGTTTAGTTTTGAATAATAAATTAAGAAAAAGATTTAGATAATAAAATAACATAAAAAGATTAAAGCTTTTTATGTTGCAGCCCACTTTCCTGAAACATTTGTATAACCATCTAAAAATGTATAAAAAATTATTCTCTATTTACAATACTTTCCCTATGTTAGACGCACAATTAACATGAAAAGAATACAATTTATAATCTTAATATACAAGCAATATATAATTTTTTTATTTTATTTCCAATGGCCAAGGTTACAAAAGACCACTCACCACAATGGAGGAACAACAAAATAAACAAACACAAAACAAACGTGGCAAGAAAAGTCCATG